GAGCCATGGCCGCTGAGCCTGCGCGTCCGGAGCCTGTGCTCCGCAACGGGAGAGGCCACAACAGTGAGAGGCCCGCGTACCGCAAAAAAATAAATAAATAAATAAATAAAAGGGGACTTAGGTAACTGTGAAGTGGCACTCCTGGTTTAGGTAATCAGAGGAGAAAATTGGATGACTGCAGGAATCACCGGTCAATTTCCAAAGCCAACCCGTGGGGCTGTTTCCTGGCCAAATTCTGAATAGAGGTACATAATAAAGATTCGGCTCAAGGATTATTTCTCCTATCACGTCAGGTTGAAAGGATCAAAAAATCCTCTCATATCCAAATATTGTCCTACTTTTACTGCACTAAGAACTGGAGGCAACAATTAAGTAAAACAATTAAGTGAAGCATGGTGTTTTAAATCAAAAACTCAAAACTGAGCTAAGTCTGCGTCACTCATCAAAACACACATTTGACACAAAAATATATGCTGCCTTTGCACCATAATTCTAACACGCGTCTCATAATTGTCACAGACTTAAATCTTCACTCGGTAAGACCTATTTAAAGAATAGTTACTAATAAATGAGGATCTTTTCCGAAAGCTGAAATGATGAGAAACTTGTTAGGGGAAAAAAAAAAAAAAAACACCGTTTGGATGGAAAAGGTAATGCTCCGCACAGTTATGGAAGATAGTGACTGACATTTCCTGACTGCCACTTCTAGACAAAAAAAAAAAAAAAAAAAAACAACCTTGAAATCCACATTCTACCCAAATATCAGATGTCCTCTAGGGTTGTCGCTTAAAAGCCTCTTCTTAAAAGACACTCCTTTCATTAAATTCTTTTTCTCTTTCCACTGCAGCAAATAATTCAGACTTTCATAGTTCAAACCCATGGCTTGGTCCCCTAAGACTTTTACTGATTTGGTTTAAGAGATCAAAATGATTCCAAATGCAGAATTGGGACTGCTTGGTTAGCAATTCAATGCTAATGAAGTGGCATTTGTTTGAGATGTGTGTACATCATGACCTATTTATAGAATTATCATATAATCATAAAGCAAGCCAGAGGCACTCCAGGGGGAGACCAGGGAAACTCAGGCAGTGCACAGAAACCTTGTGGATATTCAAGAAATATGTGTAGATGGACAATGCGGAAATGGAAAATTAATTTTAAAAAAATCACTGAGTCTACCAATTCGAGATTGACTGACATGTATCACCTATCATCAATTCTAGCACATGCCCACAGAACTCTTTGTAATAAGCTACGAAACCAGCTTGTCTGAAGCATTTTATACCATATGTAGCAAAATTACCTCTTTATAACCTAGCGCTGCTGATGGTCTAAGTGGAGGCGCAGGTCGCAGACAACTTAAGCTCCACGGTTTTATAATTTGAGGAGGCTCCAAGGGTCCTCGGGGCTGTCCAGTAGAGCTAAAAGACTGGGAGAATGTCTGATGAGATGTTGGCAATCTGCCATCTGAATCCGACCCCTGGGCCACACACTGAGAGAACAGCAATAGCTTCGTTGCATCCGCAAAGGCAGCCCCGGAAAGGAAAAGATGGGAAAACAAGTCTCCAGTTGGAGAGCTGGCGTTTTCCAGTCAAGACTCTGGGGTCTCTAAGGAACAGCACAAAACTCACTCCACATCCCATGATCCTGCCCTCCCTCTGTCCTGGAATTTCATTCAAGTCAGGTGTTTTCTCCCCTCTAAGGGAGGAAAGTGGAGTAACAGTCAACATTTAATGAGTTTGGTCATGTGTGTGGCACTCAATTAGGCACTTAAATAGGTTATTTCCTGAGAAGAACTTAAGACAAACTTTAGCAAAGTGAAGTAACCAGCCAGCAATTGGCAAAGCCAAGATTTGAACCCAGATCTGATGCCAAAAAGCCCTTGTTCTTTCCACCACACACTGTGCTCAAAACTGGAATTTGGGCATCACAGGTTTGAGTGTTAACAGACAACACAGCACATCTTCAATCTCACTCGGCAAGTACAGTAAAATCTCATCAATTCAAATTCCGTGAACTCTAAATTTATAATAAAATGGAAGGAGACAACGCTCAAAGTTCACCCTTAAAGGTTACTGAGGGAATGTGATGCATAAATGAGATTGCATGGAGATGTTCAAGTACTTACGAAGGTAAACTATTTCCTTTGACTTAGCACATTATTAACACGAACGTAATGGTTGCTGATTAAAATAAATGCTGTTTACCATTAAAACATCTTAGCAGGACTTCTGGCTAGAAAAACTTTGCTAGCAGTTAGTTGGAGTACCTTAATACTGTCAAACAAAGCTGCACACCTCTAAGTCAAACTCTGTTCATTGGGATGGGTCTCCCTCCATAACAAGAAACCAGAATTAGTGAGGTTTGACTGTACTTCAAACCCTACAAATACAGAGTATCCAAAGGTTAAGGGCATGCTCACCACTTCTTGTAAGTCCTCAGCAGGCAAGATTTGACAAGAGACTCAATAATCCCTGGACAGGACAGACGGACTACTTACGGAATGAGCACTACAAGATGACGATGATGTTTTGGATAAGGAACTGCAAGAGGCGGGTCCTCTGATCAGCCTGTACAGATGCTCCAGCCAATCCTGGAAGTCCTGGTTGTTGCCGCAGTGGACCACAATTCTCTCTACTATGTTACCTGCATCACCCGATTAGGAGCATTTGGAAACAAAAGGCAAGGAGGAGCTTGAGCTTGCCTCATTCATAAACACACTTCATTGCAGCTAGGACTTGGGTGTCTATTTTCAGGCGTTTTCATACCTATGAGCTAACCCTGTTGAAACTTCTCTATCAGGAACAGATAAGCTCTGATAATAAAGACATAAGTGCTCATATCTGATTTATATAACCATCCTGGATTTCTACCGCTTACAGAATCTTGGGAGTAGTAGAAAACTTCACGCTAAACAAACTCACAATCCAAAAATGTAAGCACAGGGTCCATCCAGTTCATAGTCTAAAATGAGAATACTGTATTGCTTTAACCAATATCAAAGATGAAGCAAGAGCCAACTAAGACTGCTTCCAATCTCTGGGCCAACACCAAATCTTGGGCTCCCTATTGGGAAAGAAGTGGGTAAAGCCTGCGGCCAGCATCCCAGTGTTAGCCATCGTGTCGTGTCAGTGCAAAAAAGTGCAACCATCAGGTGGATATCAAACAGGTTTGGCCAAAGGGACAAGAGGCCAAAATGTCACGGAGCATTATGGAGGTGTGGCATTTTGCTCAATTTGTGAAGAAAGTTTCATGGCTTTTCAGCACTTTTTAAAAACACGCCCGAATCTTGCTAATTCATAGGCTGGTGATAAAATGGCTCCTCTGCCACCAGGGAACAGACGACAGAAGGGAGAGAAAATTACATTTACATCGGTCCATTTTGTTATTTCTTAGCTCTAACAAGTAGCTCTTATACAAGAGAAGATTGAAACTAAGGGCAAAGCCGAGGCTTTTGAATGACCAGGAGGTTCCCCTGCTATCGCTGTAGCCTAATTAACCCAGGAAATGGAACATGCTTTGCCATGCCCATGTAAAACTTGCTCATGGATTATATAACAGAAAATAATAGCACTTATTTATTTAAACCCCACTGCATTTCAAAAAGAATTTGAAGTAGCTACATGAAGAAGAGAAAATTACCTACCAGTGATTTCAAATGTGTAGTCATTCCCTTCAATTTCATCTAATCTAGTCACCACCATTCCTGATTTCAAATGTGTAGTCATTCCCTTCAATTTCATCTAATCTAGTCACCACCCTTCCTGCTATTGGTATTTTTCCCTACCAGAAAAAGAACATCCCCATTAATTCTGTGGTTATACATGTCTCTGCTTATTTGTTAGATTTTCTGACCCTCTTAGGAATCACTGGTGAATTATGGAGAGACATATTTCTTTGGTCTGTCAATAGATAATATGTTTCCCCACTTTAAATTTTAATCAGACAAGAAAGCAAGGGGAAAATGGGGGTTGTGTTTTGCTAACACACCCTAAACCATAAGGTCAGGATTTAATCACAGTTTACTTTTCTAACACATTTTCCTGATAATCAGAAAACAAAGTAGAAACTCGAATTTCATGAAAATTAGTAATTGCTAGGCCAAGATAGGATATAGGCAACAGTAACTTATAATACTCCGTGTTTTGGGAGCAGACTAAAGGAAGTTGAATTTCCTAAGGAGCGGAATGACTTCTATCTCAGAAACTTGAGTCACGTGATGTGACTGTAATAAGACAACCATAGGGGCAAGTCTCAACTTTATATTTTCTCAGCAATAGTGATATGATATGGGCCTGGAAAATTCTGTTGCTATTTCATCTAGTTGCAGACTTCAATTTCTATTTACACATTCATAACCTAGCTTATAACCAGAGCAGTGGACATTCAGGATAAACTCATTATGCTAACACATACGCCTCTGAGAGAAGGAACATCTGCTCTTATAAACTGTTTAATTACATGAAGGGTCAGACAGAACATTCTGTCTTTTCTGGCTGGAGCTTTTAATGCCGGAGTGGAAATATTGCATCTGGATGGAAACCTGTTTTCATTACGGGTCTTGCTATTTGCTTTATATGAAATCTACTAACCTGATAGATAAAGCCACTCATCCGAGGACTTGCAGATAACATTATCAAGACACTTGAAAATAACATGAGGTACCGCTCCTCTTTTTCCTGAAGTGGAAGGAAAAAGATTAAATGAAAAATATAAATTGCACATTGTGCTAATTAAGAATTTCTGGAATCATTTTTGTAACATAGATCTTATATAAGGCAATGAAACACAGTGATTTTTTGTTTTCAGTACATAGGCCTCTCACCGCTGCGGCCTCTCCCGCTGCGGTGCACAGGCTCCGGACGCGCAGGCTTAGCGGCCATGGCTCATGGGCCCAGCCGCTCCGCGGCATGCGGGATCCTCCCGGACCGGGGCACGAACCCGCGTCCCCTGCATCGGCAGGCGGACTCCCAACCACTGCGCCACCAGGGAAGCCCCCACAGTGATTTTTTTTTTAAAAAAGGATACCCAACTTAAAAGTATAAAACGCATTTCGTTTTACTTTGAAAATGGATATAGGCCCCCAGTTTATCTGTGTCCTTCCTATACATAAGAGTTAAATACAAACAACCATGCTTGTTTCCCAAGCATGGAAGCCTGAAAAGTCACACAGTTAACGCCTTCCTGCCCAAGTTGCAACCAGAGCACAAAGTAAGTCTCAATGTTCTCAAAGCGAAAATGATTTTACTTTGAAAAGTGGCCAAATAAAGGGGTTTTCAGGTGATAGGAAATTTATTATGCCCTAACATGTATGGTAAACTCTTCCTAAAATTACCGTTAATCAATAACTACACAATAATTATTATACCCATATAAAACAAAGAAGGAAACACTTTTTAAAACGGCACTAAAGGAAATTTTACACACGAAGGCTTCTCTGAACCCCTTAAACAGATATGCAGTGAGTAGATGCCAAAGATTGCACTGGGCTCGTGCATCCGGCCATCTTAGCTACAATTATCCTCATGCCTGGCACCGTCTCCTTTCTCCCACCTGAGAAGAGCAACCTTTCAAGGCTAATTTTTCTAACAAGTGTTCTGCATTCTCTCACATCTTTCTCTTGCTTGGTCTCATCTCCTGCTCTTGCTTCCAGCTGCCTCTCCTGTCTAACTGGCTGTTTCTGCTGCCTTTAGCATATGTACATCTCCTGTCCATTTCATAAGCTTTCACTTGCCCCTGTGGCTCCTTAGACATAACGCCCTATTTCTTGACATTTTATTGCCAAATTACTTGCTGCCTTCATTTTCTCACCATTGATCCCTCTCTAACTGCACCCCTGCTGCTCTCTCAAAGTCTTCAATCACTGCCTTCTAGAGAAATCCAATGGCTTCTTCCCGGTCTCCATACTCTTTGACCTCTGACCCTTCTGCAGCACTCAGCAAGCTGACCATTTTCAAATGCTCCTCCTAGAATTTCCACGACACACCACACTCCCCTGATTCTCCTCTCTCTTTGGCTTCGTCTTTTTTTCTTTTTTTAATCTTTTGGCCTCACCGTGCAGCATGCAAGATCTTAGTTCCCCGACCAGGGATCGAACCCCAGCCTCCTGCACTGAAAGCGTGTAGTCTTAACCACTGGACAGCCAGGGAGTCCCTGCTTCGTCTTCTTTTTTCCAGCACTGATTCATCCTTGCTTTACCCAAGAGGTTTATCCCAAAGGTATGAAAGACTGTTAGAGTCACTGCATTAACCTTCCACAGGGTATCTGCATTTTGAATGAGATTGCTTTTTTTTTTTCCAATTTCTTAATTGAAGTATAGTTGATTTACAATGTTGCAAGTGTACATCAAAGTGATTCAGATACATATTCTTTTTCAGATTCTTCTCATTTTAGGTTATTACAAGATATTGAATATAGTTCCCTGTGCTATATAGTAGGTTCTTGTTGTTTATCTATTCTATGTATAGTAGTTTGAATCTGTTAACCCCAAACTCCTAATTTATCCCTCCCCGCTTTCCCCTTTGGTAACCACAGTAATGAATCTCTGACAGAGACCTGTCAGGGAGTAGAGGAAGATGTCTGGGGAGGGAGAAGACGATTGTAATACCCCATAAATCACACCAGGTGATGTAATCAACCTTCTTCCCCTACCCCGCTCCCTTCCTAAAAGACATAATCCATCTTCAGCTTCCGTGCATCTCTCTGGATATTTACTTCCCAAGAAGGCACATCTGTCAGGGGCACGTAAACCTCTGCCTCCAACTCTGACCTCCTACCCACATTTCTATACCGTTTCAACAGCTGCCTACAAGTCATCTCCTCCTGGATACCCACCATCGCTTGAAAGTGACCAGGTCTGAAATGACATCCGTCATTTCCTCTAGCCTCTGGCTCACCACTTCCTATAGGCTTTCCCTTCTAAACAGGTCTCATATTTGCCCCTTAAGTTTCATTCTCTCTGCCACCACCTTCCTGGGGGTTACTTACCACTTTCCAACCCAGATGGCCTGTCTCTAGCCCCATCCCCTCCAGGTTAGCTGACATATTCAGCTGCCAGCTTGTCAGAAACACCCCTTTCGTTTCGCCCCTGTTTCTCTACTACTCAGGCCTCGCATGGTTTCCTGCTGCGTCCAGCTGAACTATCCTTGCCTGACATCCGAGGTTCTTCACAACCTGCCTCTCTCGAACCCAATGAATTCGCTCTTTCACTCTGCCCAGGATGCTTCCTCTGCTCCTAATAAACTGGTTGGCTCAGTGCGCTGAAGAAAAAAGGCCACATCCCTGCTCTCTTCTGAGATAAGAATGACCTCTCCCTTACAAAATCTTCCCCCTCTCTCTTCACGGCCCCCTCCTCAAGTCCTATCTGCATACAGTCTTTTCTTGGTCTCTCCCTTCTCTGAACTTCTGTGGAATCTATTGTAGGGATGGCATGATCTGGCATTGACTATTTTGGTTTGTTTTCTAGTTGCAGCTTGGCTTTTAATCTGTCTCTAATGAGTTCTTTGAAGGCAGAGATCATGGCTGTTCCTTTCTCTTAACGGCTCCCACAGCACCAAGCAGAGGGCTGGGCAAGGAACAGGTGCTCAGTTTCTGATGCGAAAAGTTTGAGCATTTGACCTTGATGGGAGAAGAAATAAAGGAAGAAATATATAAAAGACGGAAGAAAGGGTGTTGAGATTTGAAACCTCTTACCTCACATGTTCCATACTGCACCATTACTTGCGACATAAAGATTACATTTCCCAAGGTTTTAATATCTTCCCCTTCCCATGCCTGAACAGGTTCCGAAAGTATCTGCAACTCCAGCTGTTTTCTCTTTCTGAGATCTTGGCACTGCCCCTACAGAACCAAAGCAGAACGTACTGAAATAGGAATTCTTCTGAAACAGACCTAAAACAAGGCTAAAGTAAGAAGCGGCTCTTGACTATCAGATTTCCGCTGAGTCCCTATTCCTCACCACGAGTCCCATCACCAGGTCCATTTCGGACAGATGGAAAGATCCACTACCTTAAATCTCTAGCCTTCAGCCCCTAAACATTTTGTAAGGAAGAGCCACTTCTCATTTTGCAAAACATCAAGAGAAAGTGGTAGAAGGGGGTTGCCTCTCCCTCCCCACAAGGAGTAAGGGAAGACAAGTAGCAGAATCACATCAAACAGGACCAGTAGGTTCAGATCTGCTGCTTGGTGTCCCTGCTCGCTCCAGCTCTTCTCCATCTTGTCTACCTTTGCATAAATCGTGCTTTGTTACAAAGCAGTTTTATTTTTCTAACTCAGTTTCCAACCAAGTGACATCTTACTTTACAAAATGACTACAAGAGTTATCGAAAAAGAGAAAATTAAACTCCTTCTGCCACAGTGAATCAAACTGATCTTATAATGAAACATATGCACTGCCCTATACTTTGTTTTGGGACCAGTAGTAGATTGCTATGAAAAAGTACTAAGTTAATTTTTATCCCTAAAAGGATTGGAAAAAGAGATACAACTGAATTTCACAAATACAAACTGAAAAAACAAGCCAAGAAATAACACGTGGGGTATGACTACTATGTATTTGTATAGAGTATATACTATATACATATATATCTCACTGCTTCAGAAAATGTGAAGTTATCTTAAAATAATTTAACAGTATTCACTCCAAATCGAATATGAAAATAAGCATATGGTTAGTTATGTTCCTGTTTCCAAATGACTTATCATAGTGTTTTGGGGCACGTTTTCTATAAAGTCTCTGCTGCCCCTTTCAGGTAAATGGAAACTTGAGGAAATAAATTCATTGTACACATATTTTTGAGGCCTAGAATGGGAATAAGTATACTATAACCATCAAAGCAAGTTTTACAACATGTAAAATGATTAGAATGAAATATCATTTTTCGAATGAGACATTTTATATTCAATTTACATAGGAAAAAAGAGAAGGGATACAAATAATTATAAATGCCATGGGTTTCAGTGGGCTGTTCCATTAGGTTGAACCATGTCAAACTGGCAATATTCCACCATTTTTTACCTACAACAGCAATTTTAACCTGATACCTTACACGCTGGTCCTCAACTTGCTGTTTAACTGTGGACACATCAGGTACAGATCTTTCGACAGCAATAAAAACGAGGTGATGGTGAATGTTGCATCACAACCTTACAGCAAGACAATAACTAAACGTTGATCCCCATCACTTGGAGTACTACAGAAATGTCTAAAATTAAGCTCAACTTAATCAATCACCCCAAATAACCTTTTCTTTCCTCCTAAAATGCCACCAAGCAGTTTTACATCAGTGGGTTCAAGAGAACATTAAGCCATTGTGCTCGAGATTCAAGATAAAAGGTAACTTTGATAGCACTCTATATACAGCAATTGTCTTTTAGTCGGGTTTCTTTTTCCTTTTAGATTTGATGAAGGATTTCTTTTTCATATGCAAAGAATAGACTCACACCTTTCGGCATAAGTAGATGAATCCGGTATTGATGCCGATCAGTGAAGGACGAGTTGCACAGACATAAGGTGAGTAACACGGGGGTAAAGACAAAGAGACACAAGGAAACCCCCCACCTACACAGCCATGCTTAATGTGGCAGAGACTTCAAATGTGAGTGCTTTACACCCTCAGCCTGGCAACCTTTCACAGGTAAGCATGATGTTTGGAAGACAACATTAAATGAAACAATCACTGCGATACGGTCACTAGAGCTTATTGTTTCCACTCTAGAGACCTTTGCAGAAGGAAAGAAACATTACACACAAGTCACTCTTTTAGGAACAAAGCATACAAAATGGAGAATTATAATTTTAGAGCATCACCTACCATGAGAGTTTTGAATGCTATGATTGCTTTCAGAATATCCTGGTGATCTGGATGCGTATCCTATTAAAGGAATACATTTTAAAACAATATTAAAGGAGAACAGAGCAGTGATTGCAGGGGCGAGGGGTGGGAGGAGGGTGTGGCTGTAAAGAGATCCAAAGAAGACATTTTGAGGGATGATGGAATTGTTCTTTATCGAGACAGTAGTGGTGGTAACTCGAATCTATACACATGTTAAAAGTCATAGACCTGTACCCCAAAAGAAAAAAGTCATTTTTACCGTATGCTAACTTGAAGATTAAAAAATAAAACAGCATTTGAGCATTTGGAATCTCAGCACCTCTAATGATTAGGTGATGAAGAAATTAAGATGGCTGGGAACACATTACATATTTGGTAACAACATACTAGGTACAGTTATCGAGGTAAGAGTTCCCATTTGCCTTTTTGCTGTTATACCGTGGATAATAAATAATAATTATGTGGGGGGGGCCATCATTAGGTCATGTTGTTTGTAAATGACAAGAGGTAGGGAATTGTAGAAACAGGGTGGTGGTCAGAGAGAAATCATTCCAATCTCATTTCCTACACCGCCTCCATCTTCTTCCAGCAGACTCAACATGGCAGACGGGAAAAAATTCCAGGTCTCATACCATGTGCTTCTTCTTAAGCAAGCTGATTATCTTTGGTCTGCAATTCCATGGTACTCACTCACAACCCTGAAAAGTGGAAAGGTTCAAAAATGGCTTTGAGGGATCCACATCTGCATAACTGTTTATGAATGGAAAGTAGGGCTCCTTGCAGGAGATGTCCAGCTAACCTCTGGAATTCAGCTGCAGTAAACGGAAGACAAAATCTGCTGTTCAATCAACTTTGGGTGATAAAATACAGAGCTGAGTAGACTAAGGGTCTGACCCAAGCCAAGAGCAGCACTGCTTATGAAAAGAAAGGTTGTACTCCTTTATAAATGTACCCTTCTGCAAATCGGCTGATCATTGAGAAGTTCAAGTTCTACTCTGCCATGAGCCAGCAGCCATACTCAATGATCAGAAAGCTGGATAAAGTGTCTCACCAGATGGTGAACCTGTACTCAGGATACGTATTATCTGATGGTGGGAAACGAAAGGCAGCCAAAGGCGGGTGACCACCAGCACGCGGAGGAGAGGAAACAGGCTCTGAGACAAGAAGGGCCAAGACAGAGGATGCAGGCAGTGGGAGCACCTGGGATTTCATTTCCTCAAATGAAGTGTCTATTTGCACTTCAGCACTGAGCAGTTCCAGAAACTGGAGCCACGCGTTTCTGGATTTTTGTGATAAACAAGGAGGGGCAAACCTCAAACGGTTCAGTGAACAGGTTTAGCTTTTGGAAAGCCATCCAGAGGTCAACACCTTCCTGGGCCCTAAGTGAAATTTCATTCCGGCAGGCCAAAGAGCCTGAGAACGTGCTTTCCCTCAGAGTACACGCTTTCAATCCTTACAAACGCTGACAAGACGGGCAGCGTGCAACCTTTCTCTTTAAAGATAATCAAACCCTTTCAAACCTCAAAACCTTTCCCCAGACACAGGAAGAACAAGTAGGGTATATGCAGCTTCACCCCTCGGGCCCTCCTCACCCATCCCCATCCCCCATATGCTCCATCACACAAGAGCGGCTCAAGAAGCTACCCCTGCTGATTGGCTTTTAATAAAGAGGATTTGGGCTCTTGAGGCAAAAATATCCAATCCTCAGGCCTCATTGCAAATCTGAATATTTAGAGAAGGTGATAGCTATGCTACAGCTGTGGCAGGCAAACTGTGCATTTTTAAACAAAAAATGTGAGGGGGCTTTGATGGAGATGTATGGCTGCGTAAACAGAGAAACTGAGAGTGGACCCATTTATTCATCTTTAAAGAAATACCAGAATCTTCCATTGTAATCCAGAGTCATAAAGCTGAATGACCACAGTGCTCTAGGGATAAACACTCCTGTCTATAACGAAAAATGTTCTGTACATTTTCTGATGCTGGTTTGCTTTGTTTAGCTCCCACAAGAAAGCTGGTTCATATATCAGAGCAACAGAAGGTTTCTTGGTGGAAGATTTCTCTGTAGAACCACCATCTACAGATGAGAGGGCAGAAGCAAACCTTAGTCAACCATTGAGCAGAGACTTGAGGAAGCAACAGGACCGGGGCTGGGAGAAGAGAGGGGAGGGAGAATGATCGTGAATATTTAATAGTAAAGTATGGGTATCTTTCAGTTATTAGATGAATAAGTCCTGGGGATCTAATGTACAGCATGGTGACTGTAGTTGATAATACTGTATTGTATACTTCAAAGTTGCTTAAAAAAAAGAAAAGGAAAGAAAAGATCTTGAAGGTTCTCACTAAAAAAAAAAAAAAGGTAGGTATGTGAGGTGATGGATGTGTTAATTAACGTGATTGTGGTCAGGATTTTACAATGTATGTGTACATTAAATCATCACATTGTACACCTTTAAAAAATCACGTTGTACAACCTAAATCTATACAATTTTTATTGGCCAATCATACCTCAATAAAGCTGGAAAAAATAAGTAAAAATAAGTAAAAAAAAATCTTCAGAGGGGAAAAAAAAAAAGAATGTCCCATTCTTATTTTGCTGCCTAAAGAGGAAAACTAAAAGCCCGGGAAGAGGGAAGACTGGATCAAGTAAATTTTGAAACCCAGGTTTTTTCTGAACTCCTCAGTAAGGCTAGTTTGGAGGCGGTACTGGCTGCTTCCTCCAGAGCAGAGGCTCATCCTTTGTACAGGAGCTTAAAATAGCTCGCCTTCCCTTACCTCCATATGCCGTTCCAACTCTTGCAAGAGAGTAACATACTTTTCCAGTCGCATGAAAGGTTTGCTGAGACTTGTTGTTAAAATGAGGATGCCTGGGCTAGATGCACCTTGATTTTCCATAAATCGTTCCAGATCATCACTGGCAAAAGAACGAATATAGTTTTGTTACTGCTTAATATTCCAGGTAAAGAGTTACCAACTGAACATGATTTTCCTGTATTTCACAGCATAGAAAACCAAATAAATTTTGGATCACCAGCACAAATGCTGTCCAACGCACTTCCACTCAATTCAATCAGCATGGCGCACAGCACTGGGCTACAGCGGTGAACCAGGCACTTATGATCCCTGGCTTTATTTTCTCATCCAACAATTATTTATTGAGCATCTACTAAGTGACAGGCTCTGTTCTCTGTTGGGAATACAGCCGTGAAGAAAACCAAAACCTCTGCCCTTAAGAAGCCTGCACCCAGAGGCATGAGGCATACAATCTATCACATGACCTCAACGTCAGGTTTGAAAAAATCTTTTCTTAGTCACTGCAAACATTCTAGTTATTGGCTGATGAGATGCCAAGGGGAGTAACTCACCAAGTGCTCCCTATCACCGGCTGCTCCCTATCACTGGGACACCCACTTGTAATGTGCCAGAATCAAGTCCTAAATTCAGATAGCAGCATGTTTGCATGACTAATCACTTAGCCTAGGATCTGAAAACAGTGCAGCAGCCTACCCAAATAACTCGGCTTTAAAATAAAAGAAAAGACTGTAGGGAATTCCCTGGCGGTCGGCCCAGTGGTTGGGACTCTGCACTCTCACTGCCGTGGGCCCAAGTTCAATCCCTGGTAGGGGAACTAAGATCTCACAAGCCTCGAGGTGTGGCCAAAAAAAAAAAAAAAAAAGACTGTATTAATATCTTAGGAACCAGGTTGTGCAAATGTCTAAATCTAAGCCTGGGTTTTCTCTGCCCTTCAGCACCCTCTGGACTGTCTCCTTTCCACCAATAGGATACTGAGTCCTGGGGCTGCAAGATCATTTTAGTTTATATCTCTGCAACATAGAATTAAAGAAGGAAACCTGCCTTATCTCTTGACCCCTCTCCCTCCTTGCTCACCCACGCATATCTAATCCGTCACAAGCCTTCTTGTGCCTGTTTATTCCTTTCCATTCCCACTGCCACTGACTCAGCTCAGGCCTTCATCTCTCCGGTCTAGTTCACTGCAATAGTCCAATGGACCCCCCAGCTTCCAGGCTTTCTGGCTTGTGAAGCACCCTGCAAACCACCACTTAACTCCTGTTGGTTTCCTACTCAGGAATCTCCAGTTGCCTGCAAGATCAAGTCTTAACTTTTTGGATTCCCACTGGCCCCACCAATCTTCTCATCCCTCTCCAAGAGGAACCCTCTACTACCAAATGATCTATTTATTCTCCTAGAACACATCTTCGACAGCGGTTCCCAACTGTGCCATGTTGCAAAAAGTTGTGTTGTGTTCAAAGAAACTTGCTTATCAGTGATAACCTACTAGGGGGTTTGGGGGTGTGGTGGGTTGCAGGTTACCCCTGATTATAGATACTCTCCCTCTGCTTGGCTTTTGCGAGCAGGAGAGAAAAAGACATCGTTTCAGCTGTTACACAGCAACCTTGAGTCACGCAGAATCACAGGGATGTCACGGAAGCTAGATCTCATCTGAGTGGTCACATCTGACCATCAAGCCTACCTGTTTTATCAGTTTTTGCAGTCTTGCTCCAGAAGCAGCCAAGGGGAGGGAAGTGCCCTGGACTTGAAATCATAAAACAGATTCAGTGACCCTGATCAGTTACCAACCTCAGCTGACTCATTTGTAAAGCAGAGATAAAACCTACTTCCTACTAAAATTGTGAACCTTAAATATTGGCGTTTATAAGACTAAAATCTTTCATGCTAAGATCTCTGCGTGCATTTGTTCTTGTTTAATATTCACAAAAACATTTCAACACAGGTGTTATCTTCATTTTACAGACGAGAAACATGAGACTCAGGGTGAGTGAAAGCAAGTAAATAGCTACGTTAAGGTTCATACCCAGGTCTGTTGGAAATCACTACTGTCTGATGCTTGATGTGGAACACAGCAGTGGCATGGACCATCTCTGAGGTCTAAACCATGAAAAAAAGGAGGGGGGGAGCTGAGCTGACTTGAATAATGCAGGGAGAACTTCTAGAAGAAACAGTGTTTTGGACCTAGAGGTTATCATACTAAGTGAAGTAAGTCAGACAGAGAAAGCCAAATATCATATGATCTCACTTATATGTGGAATCTGAAATATGATAGAAATGAACTTATTTACAAAACAGAAACAGACTCACAGACATAGAAAACAAACTTATGGTTACTAAAGGGGAAAGGGGGTGGGGAAGGGATAAGTTAAGAGTTTGGGATTAACAGATACACACTACTATATATAAAATAGATAAACAACAAGGTCCAACTATAGAGCACAGGGAACTATATTCAATATCCTGTAATAAATCATAATGGAAAAGAATATGAAAAAGAATATATATATGTATAACTGAATTACTTTGCTGTATACCTGAAACTAACACAACATTGTAAATCAAGTAGATTTCAATAAAAGTTTTTAAAAAAGAAATAGTGCTTAATGCAAGCGACTAGGGAAACACAGGTTAACCTGCCTGTGGGTCAGATTTGGCTTAGACTAAAAAATGATCATCACATATAAAATATAATTAGGAAAATAACTCGAAGTTGGAGAGTGCATTTGAGTATGTAATTTTGAGAAAATCACTTTCCTAATTTCTTTTCAATTTGGTAAACAAGTCTTATTTTTTCCTTTCCATGAGTAAATAACTACCTGCATCCTCAACGTTCTACTCTAATTGATACAAGGGTTACAACAATTAAAAGCAAATGCTAACGTGTACTTTGTTACTTTCCATGCAGCATTCTAACTTCTAGGCTTGTTAAATATTACAAAAGAATTAAAAATTTTTTTTCAATATAACGTGAGATCACTATCTCAGAATAAAACACTGGCTATTAGGGAAAAAGTAACATTAGACTAGTGCAACAAAAGAACAAAACTGCCTTATAAAGCCACTGCCCATTATGATAAATAGATCCTCAAAGACACATTTTACTTAGCCAAATAAATTTAATGCACAAATTAATATCATACACAAATATAACATGCAAATATATGTCAGTATACCAAAACACAATCTGTCTTTCAAATGCAGCAGTTTTCAATGTATGACTGTTGTTTGAAACTCAACATACCCTTATAGAATGCATGGTGGATGGGGCTCTGGTATATTCTAGGTTGGGCTGGAAAACTGAAGAAAAGGGTCATACATTATAATAACACTACAGGGCTTAACCATCTCATATAACAGTGTTTCTGTAGAATCTTTGCATAGATTTCCACTTTGAACGATGGTAACTCTAACTAGAGCAGCTAGAAAAGGACCAGATTTCCCCCTCTTTTCGCCTCACTCTCTCGCCACCAGCCTTTCATGGGAATCACCGTGGCCTGGAATGGGGAGGTGAGGCAGGAGGAACTGGGAGGCTGGGCGTGGCCAGTGGAAAATCCCCGGGATGCCGCTCACACTGGGTTGGGTGGATCTCACTTAGCCCTTTTTTCACTAATCCGGTCCCAGAGACTAGGCTGCCTGCTTCTTCCCCACCATTTTTTTGTTTGTGGTCAGTCTCACTTGCTCCCTTCCCTGGTTCCTCAAAGACAGAACAGAATCTAGCCTCAGAATTTTTCCTATGTGCTTCGTCCCGGAAGCAAGTACACAGCTCTGAGTTTTTCTCAAAGTCTTCATTGCTGACAACAGTGGTAAACAGAGAGTGAATAAAACTAACAAGAGGAAAAGAACACGTGGTGTTTGTGGTAGTCGCCGCAACAGAGCCGGAAGTGAGGTCCCGATCTGCCTCGGTGCTAACTCTCTCCTCCTCTCCCCGCTCTGTCTTTTCACGCCGCCGGGTTCCTCTCCCTTGTGAAAAGGATGGATGCCACAACGAAGCACGGGAGAGAAGTGGGTATTTTTGTAAGGGTGAAGTTTCTCCCAGGAAGAAATAAGAGCCACAATAGCAAGCCAGAAGGGGAGAGAGAGGGGAAATCCCAAAAGACCTCACCCAGGGCCGAACAAAAGACTGGGGCAGTCATTCAAATATATGTAAATATGGGGAACAAACATATCAAGATTGGGGTCTGCTTATATCTCCAAATTCAGATAATGCATCACTGCACTTTTCACAAGGCACCAACACACAGTCATACAATTTTCAGGCTGCGTCTGGTCTCACTGTCAATCGTCACAAGCATTTCTAGTATGATACTGCTGCCTGCCGGCCGAAATGAAGAGGTTCACCTAACTGGCTTTTGCTCTGACTCAGAGATGTTCCCGCTTCTAAGCATCTACAGCTTTAGCAGAAATCCACTAATGTCCCTATTTCAGCTGCAACCTTCATATAAAACAGGATTTTAATCTGAATTTTCTGAGAATTTCACTCAAGTATGCTTTGCCTCTAGTATGTCAGCATAAATTACGACAAGATGCCTAGAAAATAGCTGAGATTATATTAGAAGCACCTCTGAGGATAACCCCAAGTATTTTAATTTAATTTTCATTCCTTACATGTAAATAAACCACTAAGATAAAAATTCAGTTCTATGGGACTCCAGTGAGTCTTCCATCATTTCAAGGGATATTATAAAATTCTCCAAAAAATTCACTAATCATATATAAAATAGATAAACAACAAGGACCTACTGTGTAGCACAGGGAACTATATTCAATATCTTGTAATAACTTATAATGGAAAAGAATCTGACAAAGAATATATATCTATATCTATACATAGATATATGTACACTCAATCACTTTGCTGTACACCTGAAACATTGTAAATAACTATAGTTCAATTTAAAAAAATCACTAACCAAAATCAAGCAAACAGGGTATAATCATTTCCCTCCAAAGTTGAGAATCTTTCAATTAACTGTGCAACAAACTTTAAATCATAATGTTTGAAGGAATCTCTACTGTTATTTATACTTTAAACTCCTAACATGGGTAAATGCAGAGTCAGGAGTATTTTAGTACACAGAATTACAACAGAAAATTCTCTAAACA